ACACATTAATCTTCAAAATAACTAATGAAAAGGCTTAATCTGCAAAGATAATGTATATTCTGCCCACCATCTATAGGCTGAGTTACTCTACATGGTGTTGGTGTTTGCTGGTGTCAGCCCTTCAAGATAAGGCAAGCTGAAGAAACAGGCATGGCACAAATCCCAGCAATGCTCTTTATTTTTGTAGAGTAGAATAAGATCTTGTTTAAGTTTTTCTCTCCCCATTTAATGTTAAACAGAGGTGGAGGTGTTTTTTTTTAAAAAAATCTTTCTCCTGTTCTTTTCTCAGGACTGAAGAAACTTTTTCTCTTAGTTTTCTTACTTTCAGTAGTGAATAAAACCATTAGTTTCTGGTTTTCTAGCCAGATCAAATCAAATATAGGTGCCTACTAGATGTATAAATGCTTAGGAACATTTTGCTTTCTATTAGTTCAATTATGTATCAAAACTGAAAAAAAATGATGGATGTCAGGTGCATCCTAAGTGTCAAAATACAAAAGTACAAAGAAATCAGATTTTTAATGTTTAGGTGTCTATATACCTCAAACTAAACTACTTTGTAAGTGTTATCAATAGTGTTAGCCTGACACCATGGTTAAAGCATTGTACTTTGTCTTTCTATTTTTCTTTTTGGCGAGAGCATCTCCAGTATGTTCTGTTTTTACAGATCATAAACCAATGAATAGTTTCATGAGCTCGAAGCATTGGCAATAATTTATAACAATTGGACATTGCTTTTCAACATTGATTTACAGCATAACTACCACTTTTTCAGCAAAAAAAATAATTATGACCACAAATTTATTAAAAAGTACCAACAGAAGAGAATTATTAAATAATTATTAACTTAATAACTAATTACTTTAAAGATAAAATATTAATGAATTAAATAATAAAGAATTATTATTAAAAAGTGTTTAAATGGTAAACATTTATCAAACTAAGCTACTCAACTTTAAAACAATATAAGCTAAGATTTTTTTTTTTCTTCCATTCAGCTGTGTCTGATTCTCAGAGACTGCCTGAAGTTTTCTTGGCAAGGTTTTTCAGAAGTGGTTTAGGGGAGAGAAAAATGACTGGCCCAAGGCCACCCACTTGCTTTGTGCCTAAAGTGGGTCTAGAACTCATTGACTCCCTTCTAGCTTGCTGCCTTAACCACTACACTGATGTAAACACTACACCAATTGTTTAGCAGTGTCTAAATGATTGCAAGACAGGAATGTCTTTTAGTATAATGCTTTATTTAAAATGCACTTTTATCAAAGGCTTTCAGAAAATGGCAGAATAGAATTGTAATCAAAAACCATTTCAGTACTGAACACCTGATATGATTATCACATGAAGCAGCAATTGGTCATTCAAGAGATTCCCCCATCTCTTTCCAACCAATATTTCCAGCATGCTGAGTTGCAAAATTAGAAAACAAGATTTGAAAAATTAAGCACAGTTTAAAAGGTAGCTAGGTAAATTATATAATTAGGTATGAAAAGAAACAAAAAAACTAAACAAAAAAACCCCAGAGACACATTATTTCAAAAAAAATATTCTAAAGACCACCATTTGTATCAGTTTAAAAGGAAATTGTAGACTGAATTTTTGTAACTAGGGGTACCATATTGCAAAAATCCAGAGAATTATACGGTGACAGCAAAGAGTCAGAGAGATCCCAGTTGATGCTTGGTTTCTGCAACCCAGACTTAGGACTGCAAAGTGTAGCAAGCCATACACGCCAGTTACAGTATACAGGACAAGATTAAAGCTGGATGGTAATTTTATTAATGGTTTTGAGAAACAATCCTAGAATTATACAATCCATAGTCTATAAACTTTGCCTTCAGGTTTACAGACTGAACAGGTAATATTTTCATTAAGTTTACCAAAGATTTGTAAGGTGCATGGCAAACTTTTGAATTTTCAGAAAGTTTTCATTGTGGTTAAAAATATCAGAAAGAAAAAAATGAAGCTGGTATAGCTTTGCAACAAATTACAATCTAAGATCGCGTGTCTCTGGGAACTATGGGAATTGTACTCAATGTAATGTGTTGATAAGATTATTGGATTCTAACCAAAGAGGTTCTAGTTTGTGGCTATTCCGCTGTTTATATTGTTCACGTTGCATAATGTGTGTTTGTAGCCATTATCTCTCCCCGATTGTTGGAAGGATAAAATTAGAAAGTGTTCAGGATGCAACTTTGAGAATTGGGGAAAAAGTAAGATATAAATGTAATAAGTAAAATAATCCAATATTTTACTATAATCTAAAAATCATTAGGCTGAATTGAAGATCTCTTGAATTAACTCAGAAGACTGATTCTGGATGGAGGAAAAATGAGACTGCCAAATCATTCTCATGCCAACAGATGCAAGCAGGATCACTTGCTTTCTGGTTTGCTTCAGTAGCTATTTCATCTGGCTTTTAAGCCTTTATATATATTTATAACAATTAGTGCTTGGATTTCCTTGCTATTCTGTTAACTTCATATCATCTCTCCCTCTTTGTCATCTTTGTTATGACCTGTAGAAAATTTTAGGCATCTGACAAATGAAATTAACCAGAAATCAAAGAAAGAACACCAGGAACTTTTCATAAATTTTTCAGTAGACTTCTTAAGCTTGGTATAAAAAGCCACTTGACTTAAGGCCAAAAATATTTTTACTATCATAGGTCATGTTTCTGTGTAATGCACATACACTTTCCCTACTTGGTACTTGTTTTCAAGGATCTGTTTAAAATATAGATATGTCATAAAATATTACATTTAAGCCAGAGCTAAGGCTCAGATTTTGGTAGGTCCCCTGGAAGAAAAAAGAAAATCTTCTATTTGTGTCTGATTCACAGAACATACTGCTGGCACGCCACCTGTTGAGAGATCGCAAAGCTTGCTACCTGCTGTGCTGCCAGGTGGGCCAAGTGAAGTCACACACTGTTTATGCAGGCATCACCACTGGGTTGTGTTTGGCAGATGACCCAATTTTCTTCATAGTAAACACTTCTGTCCCAAACATAAACAAATGCTGCAGATATAGCAAGCTATAGAAACATATTTCAAATGAACAAGATATGGGATCAGGTTGGACCTACTGCCAGTGCCTAGGAAGTGCAAAATCAGTCACTGAGAGAGAAGAGAGGAATTCAGAACCATGGAATAATTTAGGAGACAAAATTGAGATTCATGCCAGCAATCAGAATTAGAGAACAACTGTCTCTCTCAAACAAACCAGGCTAAGGACTTCTTCAGGGAAGGGTACCTTTCACAAACAGCAACCTCAAATTGTTGGTTCCCAAACACATTCCTTGCTCTATCTTTCTTAATGGGAAAAGGGAAGGGTGAAGAAGTGGTGGGAATTTCTGTCTCAAAAGGTTTTTTTACCTTGTGGCTTCAACAGAACGCTTTCTCTGCTGCGGTTGGACAGTTGGCTGAGGAGCAAAAAGAGAGGCATAAGAGAGTCACAGGAGACCCTTAGCTCCCTATTACTGGATGCAGCGAAGCAGAGGCTAAACAGCGATGCTCAAATCTGAGTTCTTGTTCTGAATAGGATGTAGTCTAAATAGTCCTTTTTAACTTGGTGATGCTGTGCTTCTCAATCACTATACTGTACAGTTTATCATGCTTGCAACCAATTTTCACTGTTGCTCATCTGTTGCCAAAAAATAAGCTGTGAATATATTCAAAATTCTTCAGGTTTTGATACTAATTCCTCATCTTGTATCTGTTCTGTGAATAGGCCATATATGTAACTGATGAACTTATGATGTAGATATAATCATCTTTATGAGTTCTGGTTCTCATTTTTAAAAGCTCAAAGAGGATTAATTTTTATTAAGAGTTAGTGTTGATTATCCTCCAGATATCACATCATTTTTTAATCACAAATTGTAAGTTTCTTACTTATATTCCCACACAAAACAGAGATAAAATTAAGAGTTTTTAATGTTTTTCTAGATAGTGAAAAAAATCCCTAGCTTATATACAGATAGTCCTTAAATACAGGTAAGCTTAATACAGGCTTAAATACATATAGTTACAATGGCAATTGAGACCAAAATTTCCATCACTAATCAATGTGGTGATAAAGTACAGCTACATCTCTTAGCAATGGCTGAGTAACTGCAGTCTCGATTGCTGTCATTAATTGAATTGCAGTAGTTGTTAGGTGAGGACCTCTTTGCAATTCCTGCCAGCTTTTCATAACCAAAGTCATTGGGGAAGCCAGCAGAAGTAGCAAGTCATAGGTGGCTCACAAGCAGGCCAACATTCAAGTAACTGACTGCGGGAGAGCATGTGGGGGTACAGAAGTGGCTGGAGTGGTGAAGGGTGAGTGCAGCTAGACGTGGGCTGGCTGTTGCCAGGAGGAAGAAGGAGTAACATGAAGAGGGGAAGGCATGGCAAAATTCAGGGAGAAGTGTGAGAATGAGAGGAAGGGAGGCTCAGGGAGGGTGTGGCGGGTGCATGAAGGGTGTGTAGGCATAGTGAGACTTGGGGAGAGTATGCAGGGGTGTGCAAGTAGCTGGTGCAAGCACAGAGGAGCTTGGTTGTGTGGATGGGGAAGACTTTCATTAGTGACTTGTGTCTTTCCCTGGCAACTTCCCCATTGAGTTTATCAGGAAGCTACCATGAAAGGTTGCAAATGGCAATCATGTGATTGTGGGGTGCTGCAACCAGTCGTAAGTGTAAGCCAATTGCCAAGCACCCAGATTGCGATCATGTGATACGGGAGTACTGGGATGGCCTGTTGTAACCATCATTCATTCAGCGCTATCATAACTTTGGATGATTGCTGAATGAATGGTCATAAGTTGAGGATGACCTAAAGAGAGCAGGATAGATGAGGCTTAGATTCAGAATCACAATACTATACAATGACTCTTCAAATATATGTAGACAAATTGATGTAATAGACTAAAAGATTTGCAAATATAACTGATCTTCTAGCAAGGTAATTATTTATGTAATTTATCTTTAACCGTGTAATTCTGTCTTTGTTTCCTTTCTCTTTAGTTAGTGTTGCCAGAATATTCCATCCATAGCCTTTTCTGCATAATGTTTCTGTGTGCTCAAGAATGGTTAACTCTGGGCTTGAATATTCCCCTGCTTTTCTATCATTTTTGGAGGTAAACCTAACTCTATTTTGATTCCTTTGTGTTCACAAATTTGTTTCCTCTACCTCCCTGGCAGAGGATTTTGTGTTGTGAGTAGCTGTCAGACAGGCAGAAATGTAATAAATATCTTTCCTTACATGGAGATGATGCTGTGAAGAGAAAACTGTATCTGCTGTGAAGTGCAAGATTGTGTTAATTTTTCTACCTGACATGGGGACATCGAGGGCATGGGGACATCCAGCATGTAAAGCATTGTCTTCTGATGTAGTGAGCGATGCATAGAATAGGATAAGGTAGTGGGGTGCCCCAGGGCTCTGTTCTAGGCCCAGTGCTCTTCAAAATCTTCATCAATGATTTGGACGAGGGGATAGATGGGGAACTCATCAAATTTGCGGATGACACCAAACTGGCAGGAATAGCCAACACTCCAGAAGACAGGCTTAAGATACAGGAGGACCTGGACAGATTTGAACACTGGGCGTTATCTAACAAAATGAAATTCAATGGTGAAAAAAGTAAGGTTCTACATTTAGGCAAGAAAACCAAATGTACAGGTATAGTATAGGGGGTACCTTGCTCAATAGTAGTAACTGTGAGAGGGACCTCGGAGTCCTAGTGGACAATCACTTAAATATGAGCCAGCAGTGTGCTGCAGCTGCCAAAAAAGCCAACTCAGTGCTGGGCTGCATTAACAGAGGGATAGAATCAAGATCACGTGAAGTATTAATACCACTTTACAATGCCTTGGTAAGGCCACACTTGGAATACTGCATCCAGTTTTGGTCACCATGATGTAAAAAAGATGGTGAGACTCTAGAAACTAGAGTACAGAGAAGAGCAACAAAGATGATTAGGGGACTGGAGGCTAAAACATATGAGGAACAGTTGCTGGAATTGGGTATGTCTAGTTTAACTAAGAGAAGGATGAGGTGGGACATGATAGCAGTATTCCAATATCTCAGGGGCTGCCACAAAGAAGAGAGAGTCAAGCTATTCTCCAAAGCAGGACAAGAAGCAACGGATGGAAACTAATCAAGGAGAGAAGCAACCTAGAACTAAGGAGAAACTTCCTGACAGTTAGAACAATTAACCAATGGAACAACCTGCCTCCAGAAGTGGTGAATGCTCCAACACTGGAGGTTTTTAAGAAGATACTGGACAGCCATTTGTCCGAAATGGTATAGGGTTTCCTGCCTGAGCAGTGAGTTGGACTAGATGACCTCCAAGGTCCCTTCCAACTTGATGATGATGATGATGATGACGATGATGATTTGGTGACAAAGACCATGTTATACTTATATTCAGTGTTTTTTTTGTAAAAAAAAAAAAAAAAGGTGCCAGAACTCACACACAACCCGCGTTCCCTACCCTACAAGGTTCCATCCAAAAAAGGTGCCGGAACTCTGTTCTATGACAAAAAAAAGCCCTGCTTATATGTTAAAGATACCAGGAGTGGCTAAAAGATACTGTCTGGCTCTCTTACAGCATAGACTGTAATGGACCAGAAAGATAATTTGTTTAGCAAATCATAAAACAAAAGAGCCATTTTGGTTTAGTCATTAAGGTACTAGACTAGGTATGGAGAAAATTAGTCTTGTCTGGCTAGGTGACTTTGAGACAATCTTCTTCAGCTGTACGAATGATGCAATGGCAAACTGCTTTAAAAAATGTTTCCAAGAAAACTGCATGGACTTGTTTATACAGTTGTCAGGAATTGAAATTGAGTCACAAGACACAAATAAAATAATTATAAGGCAACTTCATAATTCTATTCTAGTGCTCCTTCGTCCATGTATGAAGAGAAAGATGAAGGCACACCCTATGATATGCAAGAGACCTTATTCTTATCCCTCATTGTGGCCTCATAGACTTCCCCAGAGGGAGTTAATTTTCTATAGCATAGAGCCTGGTCTTGTGGTGTAGACTCTCCTTTGGACTTAGAAACTTGTGAGAAGAGAATTTTCTAAATTTTGTAAAGAGCTTTGCACAAATAGAAAAGATTCTTGACTGTACTTTAGCCTAATTGCATAGAGGTCTGTGAGGTTGTGACAAGAATGAAATAGTAAGAGGACTTTGGGAACAGAATACACAATTAAAGACCTTCTTGTGGCTTGATTTTAATGAGAATCTTGAAGATTTTCTTATGTTCTCTTTTCTTTCAGGTATTTTCATTGTCCAGCAGACAGCACAGAACTAGCCTATGATCCACCTGCAGTGATGAAAGCAGATACCTTGAGTTATTGTCAAAGGGAAGCCTGGTGTAAACTAGCTTTCTATCTCCTCTCATTCTTCTACTATTTGTACTGGTAAGCATGGCCTCATTTCTTCTAAAAGGCAATTGCTAACATTTAGAAAATTTCTTTCCGCTCTGTGTGCTGCATTGCCATTCTATCTGTTGAAGGTTCCTAGGGGGAATAACTTCTACTAACTCAAGGGCAGTGGTGGGATTCAGCCAGTTCACACCACTTCCGCAGAACCGATAGCTAATTTTTTTGTTGCCCAGGCCCAGAATGGACTTCTGGAAGTGGCATCCACAGAGAACTGGTTGTTCACATATTTGAATCCCACCACTGCTCAAGGGCCATCAGGTTGTTAACAACATTACCCAAATGTTAACCATAAGATTGATAACAATCAAAGGACAATGATTACATCTGTTTTTGAATATTCCTCAGCATAAATTCCCTCTCCCTTTTCTGCTGTTTTTTTTTTTTGACAACCATCAGTCACCAGATCCTGCCTGCCAAATCTCATTAAGAAAACTAATCAGATCATTCAAAAGATGATAATTTATATCATATATTCAGGTCTTTTTGCTATAAATAAAAGTAATTATTAATTTACAAATATGGAACTTGGAAAAAAACCTGCTAGTTTTATGAATGGCTTTTTAACAGCAGGATTTGGGAATGCTGTTTTTATATTAACTTTATAATGCTATACATCAGAGTGATAGTTTTATTTTTCTAGTTACAAATACGAGAACTGCCTAGCACCAGGCATCAATATTTGTTCACAAACAAGCAGCAGACTGTTCCAAATGAAGCACATTTCTTGTCCTCAGCCAATAAAACAGATTCCGTAAAATGCACTGTAAAAACTAGCACTGTAGTTCTAAGAAGGCACTTTTACTACTAAGGCTATCTATTTTTGCTGCTCTATTTAAGTGATGTGCAATCTCATTTTAAGAGCATTATTTGGTATATATGCCAATATTAACTTTATAATGCTTTATATTTACATATTGGCTATATTTCGAGAGCATGATTCCAGATTGTGGATAAATCAACAACATAACTTATGGGAATCATACAATAAATACGTTGTATACATTAAGTGTTCAGTCATTAATTTACCTATGCAAATTGTTTATTAGCAGTAATAAATGGAGAAAGAACAAAATAAATAAAATAAATTACATTTCTGTCTGTCCTGCATTTGGGAGGGCATTTGGCAATGTAGGAAGGAAAAATTCAAATTCAGGCTAGTAGAATGGTAAAGTCTCTAACAGATTTCAAAGGGATGGAGAAATATCACACTATAGCTACTTCCAAAGGACATATATAAACTAGACAACCATTCAGTTAGTCATAGCTTCTTACAGTTGGATCTGATAGCACACAATCATAGTAACCAAACCAGAAATTTCCTCCAATTATTCCTCATATCTCATGAACAATAGAACAAATGTAGCTGAGGGTTAAACTGTGAAGTCCTTGATGTTCTCTGACCTTAGTTGTTTGTTTGCCAGATGTTTTATTACCTGACTAGGTAACATCATCATTGCCAGTGAGTATGGGGTTTGCTCCGTTTATATGCAATAACTTGCCCTATTAATGTTGACTTTCTTCTTGGTAGTTCTTTAATTAGGGCATTGTTCTTGTCTTGATTGTTTGTCTGGTACTAATCTCTATTTATCTGGATGTTGGTTGCTGGGGAGGATGTGTTCTGATCTTTTTGTTTCCTTCTTATATAGAGATAAACCACATTTATACATAATTCAAAAAAGGCAATTTTTTAAATACTGCATGTGTCACAGTCAGAAACAGATTTTGCTTACCTCTTTCCTTTAAAATCCAGATCAGTTATCTCTCATGTTCTAGATGAGTGTATATTACATATACAAAAATCTTTCTGAAATTAGGAGAATATGGACAATTTCACAATGGAATATCATTTTATGAATTCATGCATGCAGCCCTGAGCTCCATGGAAGAAGTAAATGCACAATTAGATACCATCTACAATATAAAAACAAATCACCATTTGTAAAAATAATCCTATTCATTTAATTACTGCTGTAGCATTGAGTAAGTTTCATTTGGAATTGTTCTACAAAGCAGTGTTTTATAATTAAGGGTATTTTTAATGGACTCCACAGTATAATTATATTTCAAAAATTACATTTTAACTCTTTAAAAAAATTCTCATTAATTATTGTTCCTTCTATCCCAGTGGAAAAAAAGAGAATCAAAAAAGCAATATTTAAATATAAATTCTAAATTTATCTGAGACAGAGAAAAATTCAGAGATGACAAAAATTCCAGAGATCAACTTTCAGAGCTGTTGCGTAAGGAATGTAGTGACTTAGTGTCAGATATTTGAAGAAAATGGAAATTGTAAAGAAAAATGTATCACATATTTTCTTGTTAGCAGTGTTAAGCCCATTGTAATTTAAATATTGGCTGTAGAGATACAATGGTAGCATGCTCCCCAGGTAAAGAACTTCATAGTATAAAATAATTTATAAAAATAAAAGGGATATGCATCTTTCAAGGCATCTTTTCATATTCTTCTTTTTTCTGTTTATGTTCAGCATGATCTACGCTTTAGTGACTTCCTAATTCAAAGATAATGTAAAAGACTGAAAACAAAAGTGACCGTATCCAGCCTACAATGATGCCTAATACTAAAACACAGCAACAAAATGGAAGGTTTAAATCCAGCAGCCATACAGGATATAAAAAAGCGAGAGATAAAGCCCTATAAGAATAACAGGTGACAGCACAAGTGGAAAAAATGAAGTGATGGATAGCTGAGCAAGCTCATTTTCTTCTTTCCTTCCTTTGGTTTTTTATTTCCCAGGATAAAACAAACTAGATATTTATAATGTGTGAAGTAGACAGTTTCATCTGCATGTGATGGAATATGACTTTTATTATATTAATTTATCTTCAGAATGCAGATTCTGCCACAAACAAGATTGTTTCTGTATCCTTTTTCCCCTCCGAGGGACTTGAAAGCAAGGCAACCATCCTCTGGACCTGTGGTCAAGTAGATGCAGATAATATATGTGTGCAATACTCTGCATTCAATCATATGCTGGAGAAAAGTTGGGAAACATTTGGCTTTTTGTGATTTTGGTGACTGAAGAAAACATATCTTGGGAGAACAAGGGGCCAAAACACATTCAAATTGCACTCAGTTGTTCTTCACGGTTAATGATAATGTTCCAACTATTCTGAATTAGGGAAGATAGTGCAGTAAAACAATATTATGTAATATATTAATAATACAGTTATGTCAAGCACTCTATAATAATGCATTCCTCCTACTGGAGGAAAAATGTCCTAGTAATGTAATGAATGTTTCAACAATTTTTACAACCTGCAATACATATTAAAAGGGCCAATTTACTTTTGTCTGGAGTTCTGTCAAATCAATTCAGTTGAATTAAAATTAACAGGATTTCTTCCTTCCTTCTCCATGTATTTAGCAGATCTGCAACATGGGTAGATGTTGCAGAACAAAATGCTGATTTTTTTCATTTTGTGTACTATCTTTCAAACTTTGGTGTGAGATATGCTCACAAAGACAGTAAAGATTGGTGTTGACATATTTAAAGTTACATTCTCAAACGTATGTGTTGGGGATAAAGCCAATGAAATTTTCTATATGAAGAACTGCCATAACTTATGATTTTTGAAGAGAGAAGAGATAAATAGTACAGTAGCCTAAAATCTCAGCAGGTGGGCCATATCTGCATTAATTGATAAAATATATTTTATGTTGAAAAGAGTGGAACAGCTTATTCCTTCAGCCCCTCTTTTTTCCCATCAATGTGCCAACTGCAAACTGAAATCATACAGTACAAAACACTGTCCTGGAAAGAAGGAGAGACTGATAGTGCAGCCTGATTTTTTAAAAAATAATTTTAATATTTTTTTGTTTTATTTATTTAAAATATCTATATAGCTGCCAATTGTATGCAACATAACCATGAGCAGCTCAAAAACAATAGTAATTACAATAAAAACCATAAAAACTAACATACAACTTTGCTAAGGTACAAACAAAATGTGGAAAGAAATTATGGAAAGAAATATAAGAGATAGAAAGTGAAACACATTTATTCAGCTCACAATTTTATACCTGAGCTTGTAATGTATATCTAATAGTGTATTTTAAGTTCTTTGCTACACCTAAGCCTAATGGATCTTGATAAAACAACAAATTCTAAATTCTTAGTAAACATGCATGTTTTATGTTCTCATAAAACATGCATGTTTAATATGTTCTCTTATGTTTTATGAAAAGACATAAAACAAGCTAACTCAGAAATTAGCTCCATTATATTCATTGGTTCATATACCCAGATATATGAGTACAGGATTGTTATCCCTGTGCACATTTTCTTGAGAACAAATACTCTTGACTTCAGCATGAATCTTAGTCTCATCACCTACTAGACATGGGGTCATTTTATCAACAGATTTTCTGATAATGCCTTCCAATAGTGATTCTATATTCAGCCTACAAACTTAATCTTAGGACTGTTCATTTATTGCATTTATTTGCCAACTTTTGGACCTCATTAGTTATACTTATCCTGCATTTTTTTCTGATGAAAAATTCAAGAGGGCTGAGTAGCTTGCATTTTGTATTATCTTTCTTGTATGCTATAAAAGTATTACTCAGCTATGGATTTGGGATATTTATATAATATGCTATAAATTATTTTTTCTAGAACCAGATAATATTACACATCATGTTTTCAGTGCATATGTTCAGTCAGGTATTCAAGGTTAATGGGTGTTTGGTAAAATAAATTAAAACAGTAAATATTTTTAGCAGACTATAACAATGACAATATTGTTATATTGTCAAAAGCTTGTCAGTAACACTGTTGAAATTCAAACTTGGAATCTGTATAATTTTATGATTTAATAAAATAAATATCTACATTTTTTGTAAAGTTTGAGATATCCCTAGTAATTTTGTTAAATACAATAGGAATCATTTGTATTTTGTTTAAAAGTAAAATACTCAAGTAAAAGGTGTCTTGCTGTATTGTGTTATGCAAACTTCAACCTAGATGGTCTTGTGTGCCCAATAGTCCAATATATTAATTATATTTGAAAAATTTCTTCCCTTTAATTTATTTTGTTGGTCTCATTTTATTTGGGGACATAGTCATGAATGAACACAAATAAGCTGAGATCCAAATATGACTGTCCCATTGAGGCATCTGCTCCTTACTTTTGTACTTATAGAGGAGAGAGAAAGCTGTTTTGAATCTACATTTGTTTGCATGTGAATGCATACATCCTTGTATGGTCAGATCTATCATGTATTTTTGTTGAACAAACTTTGAAGGATCTTCTATTGATAATTGGACACAATCAATGAACAATGAATGCATATAACCATATGATATTCTATCAGTTATGATATACCTCTTCGTCACAAGTTTGAAAGCAACCATAGAACATAGAATAATAGAATTGGAAGGGACCTTGAAGGTCTTCTAGTCCAATCCCCTACTTGAGCAGGAGACCCTATATCATTTCAGACAAATGGTTGACCACTTTTTTTAAAGCCTCCAGCACCCACATCTACACTGATCTACAGCCATTTACATCTACAAATCTATAACCAGATCTACATTGATCTATATTAAAACTATGCTGTTGCATGAGTACTTAAAAATCCTCAAGGTAAGACAAAAATATTGAGAAATAGGAAGAGTGTGATATTCTTCATACATTCAATCTGGGAAAATATTTTAACTAGCACTTAAGATGTTCTAAATTATTCCCTTGTTATTGTTTGAAATGGAAGCATTTCCAGTGTTGAAGAGAACTCAATGTATACTATGAAGTTTTCCATTTGAGAAAATGTACTGTATTTGTATCAGCATTAAATTGGTGAAATGTCAATGGTTAAAAAACTGAATGGGTATTCTTTCTATGATGATGAAAGTTTTTTATATTGCTGAATCTCATTTATTATCTAAGTTAATAGTTTAATTAAATTTCTCAAAAACTCTTGTAGTATATTACATAGATGCTATCAATTCCAGAAGCTTTGCTCAATGTCAGCTGATCTATAAATTTGGTATCTATTGTGTTCAAATACTTTTTCATCTTTCTTGGATCAGGTGTTTGTTTACTATATAAACTTGAGTGATATTTAACAAATTGATCCATCACATCTGTCATTGTGGAGATATTCTTTGTTCTGTCCCAAATTGAAGTAATAGTTCTTTGGTTCTTTACACTATAAACTTGCAATTTATCTGACTTGTTGACTTTTCCAGAATAAAAGCAACATCTTCTAGGTCTCATTTACTTCCATTAAACTGTGCTAATTGGACTTTTAAAAAACTTTGTTCTAAGCCTCAAACTAAATATTCTTGGGCTTTAATTCTAATTGCTTTAATTCATTCACTAGCATTGTTTCTGGTTTTGCATTCCTTTCTTTTTGATGCCAGCTATATAAACAATTCTATCTCATAAATGCTTGGTTGGTGTCCCATACTGTAGTTAAACAAAGTTCATTGGGTTGTAAAATCTGCATCTGCATCTGCATCTATAAGACTGGTAAGTTTATAATAAGTTTTATGGACTAAAGAGTAATATGTATATTCTTTCTCTGCAGGGATATTGTTATGACCCTGCTTTGAAAAGAGATATAAGGACATATTTTGAGGGAATTTATGTATTTATTTATCTAATTTATATCTATATAATTTATACTTTTATATAAAGTAGATTTATCTATGTTTGGAGAGGAAAACATGGCTACAGAAATATAATATCCCTCTGCAATTTGAAGAAATGATTGAAAACAATGTTTTGCAGAACTTTATTTTGTTGCTATTTGGGGCATAAATTGAAGCAATTGTTATAAAACACAGTATAAATCTCCTTTGTTCATCTTGGATTTATTTTTCCACACAGCTTTTTTAAAGACTCTGAGTACAATGCTTCATGTGAAGAGCTCATCAAAAAGAAGGGGAAAGGAGGTGCATTTGACCTTCACATGTGCTCTTCCTTACACCAACCTCAACAGATGGCAATACTGGTTAACTTAAGCAGGGCTGAGCCTGGTTAGAATTCAGTTGTATACTTTTTATCTTTTAATAGTGGTAGGGAGATGATGATGTTTACTTCAGTACTATATCTAAGATATGAAACAAAAATAGTACATGTTTATTGACCATTTCATAATAAGATATAATTTTCACATGAAAACTTGACCTAGTTACTTCAAAATTATGAGGCTTTGTGCTTCCCAATAGACAATAACAGTGAATTCATGGACATAAAATATGATGTAATTAACTTGAATAAACAACATTTACAATTATAATAATATTTCAGTTTAAAATATTGCCTCACTTCAAAATAATTTTTAAAGTATGTCACACAGTGAAAGTATAAACCTTTAGAACAGTAGTATGGAAACAGCTAGGGTTTAGGAAATTGGAAATTCTTAATAGCATGGCAGGATTAGCTTCAGTTGAGGCCTATACTATTTTGAATGAAATGACTGTTTTCTTTGTAATTGAAGCAAAGGAACTCATGTGCATCTACATTATTTGCTATGTGGGTATATTTTAATACCGACTGTGACAATTGCATGATAACTATTCTAAGAAGAGCTGTTGGACAGCAGTTGGAATTACTGAGAGTTACTGAAGACTATGGAGCAGAGATCCCCAACCTTTTGGGCACCAGGGACTGGTTCTGTGAAGAAAGGTTTTTCCACGGACCTGAGAGTGTGTGGTTTTGTGTGCTGCCTGCATCCCACGGATGGGGCTTTGCTTGTTTGTGCAGACCGGTTGCTGGCATGCTGCGGACCTATAGAGGAAGGAAAAAAATTCATTTCAGTTGACATATAGCATGGCTTGTTTTGAGATTTGCTTTGCAAGCTGAGCTGATCAGTTCTGCCATGTTGAAGAAAAATTACAGTCTCATTTAAAAGTAGTTTCAAGCTCGGAAACCTTCATGCTGTTTTGTATATTTTTTTCCCCCTTGGCTTGTCTACAGAAGCAGGGGGGGAGAATGGAATGTGTGTTGCAGCTGTGGATGGTCATCCATGAGTCTGTTTTGTGTACTGAAGATTCTTTCTCATAATAATTGTCTGGAGCTTAATTGGGTAATGCGCTGTCAGGGGGGAAAGGGAATTGCTATATGTTTAATATACTGCTTTGGCGCCAATTTAATCAGAGCTGACTTTCGTATTCATTAGTGCCAGCATACTAAGCTCAATAAAGCCTGACATTAGAAATCACAATGTCTCATGTGTACTTGCTTTGTTGGGGTCATCAGCCAGAACTTTGACATTAAGTCAGCTCTCATTAAAAATGAAAATCGAGTAAGGGGTCCTGAGTTCCTACACCCTATCTAGTCACCTCTGTAGGGTCTGTGAAGACTCAAGGGAAGATGTCTGAAAGGAGGAAAAGGAAAATTTTGGAATGGAAAAGGCCGGTGGCCTGGAGGCATTTGATAGTAGGCAGCAGTCAGTCGATTGAGCAGCCGTGGAAGAGATTGTACAACTTGGAAGTGTGGGGATGGGAGCTGGCTGAGAGCCAGGAGCAGATTCCGCAAACAAGGTCCAGCCAACTCATGGCAGCCACACCGAGTCTGTCACCTCAACTGAACTCGAGGGCAGTGACCAATGCAACTGGGGGGTGGGCTAGTCCCCAGAGGGACAACCCTCCTCAAGTCTGGTGCAAGTCTAGGACTTGGGGCTGCTAGTCCTCAGCCAACAACCGCCCAACCATCTGGAACAACCGGTCAGCCATTGCTTCAATTGCCAATGGAGCATTGGCCTGTGCCTGGAGCCCAGCCGCCTCCATCGCTAGGAGTAACCTTCGACGGAAACCCAATCTGTCCTTCTTCCTGAACCAGGTGTGGTCACACCTGGACCAGTTTGGCCAGATGTACCTTGATGATGAGGCCTGTGTGGATGTCATTGTGGCAAACCTTGAGGGAGAAGCTGCGGAATGTGTGGTTGCCCTCCACAACAAGGAAACTCCTGAGATGGGGGATCTGGACGCATTCCTGGGAGAGCTCAGACCCCAGTTTGGCAACCCCACCTAAACCCGACAAGCTGAGGCTGAGGTCCAAAACACCAGGCAGGAGAACAGACCCATAGCCAAATACATCAGAGAATTCAGGAAGATTGCAGGGATGCTGAGGCGTTGGATAGAGTTGACTCCTAACTCAGTACTTCTGAGAAGGGTTAAGTTGTGACCTGTTCTACTTGTGCCTGGCCCGAGGGCTCAACGACTGGTACCAACTGGTGATCACTGTGGAGCTAGACCTGATGGGACACAAGGGCTGTGGAAGATTCATACCATGCCCCAAGAAAAGCCAAGAGGAGCGTGCATGAGGGAGAAAGCAGCTGGCAACGGTGTCTCCTGCCTCTGCTGAAGCTTTGAGTCGTATCCCCATCCTGTGCTTCCACTGCAGCCAGATGGGCCATCAAGCAGCAGTGTGCCTGATGCCAATAACTAACGCAGGCCCCACTGCTCCTCTCCCTCTGAATCCTAAGAAGCCACCGAAGAGGGGGAAGGGGAAGTCACAAGGTGCAGCCCAGGGAGAAAAGCAAAAGCCTAACAATATGTTTAAATCAAGGAAGATTAGATGGATGTATCACCCCTCATCCCAAACCTGCTGGAGGTCATCAACAAGTGTGATCAACGGAGTCTCAGCACTATAATCTAGCCTGAAACCTTACTGAAAAGAGTCTAACTAATCAGTTTTTCCCCACAGTCCTTTGGATCTACAAGGCTACACTTTCTGGAAATGAAAGTTGTCCATTTCTGTTGAATCCAATGATGACTTCTTGAAGAGAAGGCAGACTGCCACTTCCTTCAAAATAGATGGAACCATTCCCTTCCTCATAGCTACTGTTAGGTGTGCAGATTAAGGACATTTTCTTCCGCATAAGCTAAATCTAGAATTCAAAAATTTTGCAGTGAACAAACCAGAATGATTTTCTGCTAATTATATTGGAATCATTTACAAAACTCATAATTAAAAAGCAGCTCAGCAATATTTCCTAAGTTCCTTAAGACATCATAGGAGATAGTGTTTAGTATGTATCACAATTTAATTGGGAAAGGGACTGAGAGATAGCTAGAATGTGTTTGGGCAGTTTACATTTGAGCAGAAATGGGAGAAGCTGAAACTGTTTAGTTATAAGCTGCCTGCAGATGAAGCACTTGGGAGAACACTTGCTCCTCTTTATAGAGAATGAATAAATGAAACCTTATTAAACTATTATTGCAAAGAGACCACAAACTGTAGTGTTTTCTCAACCAAAGAAAATTAAATTACCTTGCATAACTTACCTCAGACCTTTGAAAACTCAGGAGAACACATAATAGTAATTTGTATGTTTATCTTAGTATCTAAATTCAATATTGTTTAGCAAGCAAGTTTGCTTAAAAACTCAGAAAACAGTTGTTAATCTGACAGGCAGTACACTAAGTAGCAGTTATACTGGAATGATTACAGGATGCTTATAGGATAGGATAGGATAGAATAGGATAGGATAGGATAGGATAGGACAGGACAGAATAGAGTTGGAAGGGACCTTGGAGGTCTTCTAGTCCAGCCCCTTGCTCCACCAGGAGAACCTGGTTGACTGTCTAGTCTCTTCTTAAAAACCTCCAGTGATGGAGCACCCACAATTTCTGAAGGCAAGCTGTTCCACTGGTTAATTGTTCTCACTGTTAGGAAGTTTCTCCTTAATTCCAGGTTGCTTCTCTCTTTGGTCAGTTTCCAACCATTGTTTTTTGTCCTGCCCTGTGGGGCTTTGGAGAATAGTTTGATACCGTCTTCTTTGTGGCAGCCCCTTAAATACTGGAATACTGCTATCATGTCGCCCCATTTCTTTTCTTTAGACTAGCCAAACCCAAGTCCTGCAACCGTTCTTCATATGTTTTAGTCTCCAGGCCTTTGATCATTTTAGTTGCTCTTCTCTGAACTTTTTCCAAACTCTCAACGTATTTTTTGTAGTATGGTGACCAAAATTGGTTGGGGTTGCCGTATCATCCTTTAAGCAAAGAGTTGGACTAAGTGATTTTTACATTTCTTCAATACTGATAGTATTTCTAATGTGAAATATCTACAATGGAGAAGCAATCTAGTTATCAAGCTACATGATATATTATCTGTTTTGTGAATCCAGACATGACAGATTTAAAACTATACCTTATGGATTAGAATATTAAGTACTTTCAGACAATTGTTTAATCCATAAGATTTGGTTAAGCAATCCATTTTATTATATGCAAACCCAGTTTTAATCTTTGCTCTCTATTTTCTATATTAAGCTTATTTTGTGCTTTCGTGCTGTTTTATTGTATTGTATTGCATTATTTATCTGCGAAGGTTATTTTATGCATCATGCATACCACTATTTGCTATATGTTAGTGCTGTGATGTAGAGCTTTGTAAGATTACTGCAGAAGAGGAAAACAATTAGGAGAGCAATAAAAAGGGAAGCTCTAATATCTTAATGACCTTAATCAAATCTATGGTGTGATGACATTTCCTTTTTTATAAGTTGTAAATTAAGAAACAATACAGAAAAGGACAATCAAAATGATCAAAAGTTTTAATTAGGGAATATATGCTAAAATAAATTTTCAAGAAATTTTGTGGAGACAGAAAACAGTGAGGAAATCCCCATCCCCCAAAATAAGCTATCTAATATGTTGCATAGCAGAAGCTTCCTAAATACTTTATATTGCAAATAGAGTGTTTGAATATTAAATTGGTCGCAGAATTAGATTGTCAGGTGAAAAGACCTGAAAGCAACAGCTTTCAGAGGTTTTTTTACCAACTCCTATAAGATTCATTATTGTTTTTAATGATGAGGTGGTAGAATAAGCTTCCCATTTCAGCAGTTCAACAAGATTAATTAAAGAGTGTAAGAAGGAAGACATGTAATTTGGTTGCTTATTTGTATATATGTTTCTATTACACTGACTTGAGCATACAATCTGTTAATGACTCTACCTAGTTCTTCAAGGCTTCAGAAATGGCATTTAAAAAGACTTGTTTCATGTTAGTGAAGGAAAAATATTACCATGCAATTTACTCCTACAGATGATTGTTTCGTTCAGAAATGTTCTGCTGCAGTTTTAGCTTTGCATTTTGTATTTCTCGGTTGCATCTGGTTAGATAGTTCAGCTCCAGTAATGAATTAATTGATGAGTAGGCCAATGTAGCAGTGGGAATGGCTTGTTTCCCTGCTGCTTTTATTGCTGTTCCAGAATATCCTGTGGCTTCCTTTATACTGAGTTCCTAATATAAGGTTATTGCATCAGATTTTATATAAATGAATCAGGGAATCCATATCTTTATATTCTCTGATTGCTCAAAAGCAGATCTCTTTAAAGAAACCGCTATTAAAGGGCCATTAGAAACGACAGAATTTTCAGTCTAGAAGACTTTAAAATAACAGGGGTCAATTTTCTTCATATTTTTGTTTTTAATGAAGTGATTAACAAATCAAGACTTTGCTAAATAATTAGGCACAGTTCCTAATCCCATTCCATAAACAATTCCATTTTAGAAGATGAATATGTCATTCTGTTTATTCCTTTTAAATGATAATTGCGCTGGAAGGATATGAAGATTTGGGCCACTAGAAAACAGGAGCCTTTTATACCGTGCATCCCTTTTTAATAGCTTGGACTACTGAATTGCCTTTACTAGGTAAACGTTGGGAGAGAGAGGGGGGGGGGGGGACAGAGAGAGAGAGAGAGAGAGAGAGAGAGAGGAGTGTATACAGAGTTGCTTGAAGCAGAGGAGTCTTTATTCTACTTGAGAGCAAGATACAGGTAAATTGCCAGTCCTAAATGTTGAAGGTGGACACAAGTCAAGTTCCTGAAAGAGTCTTTTAAAGGAAAGTCTCTTTATTGTTCCTAAAAATGAGTGAACCCAGACAGCCTTCTAAGAGAATACTGGAAAGTGCAATCTGTCCATTGAAGAGAAACTGCAACTGGATGCCCTGCAGGATTTATGATGTTTATTTTTTATGATTCAGGGTGGTGACCTTGAGAATGAAGGTCTTTTGGGAAGGAATCTTTTGACAAAATGGGTAGCTCAATACCTTAAGAGGATTTTCTTACTTGAGTAAACTGATGTCTTTTGCCAATTTCATAGGTTAAAACATATTTTGTTAATTTTAGCCTTGATGTCAAATTGGCTTAAATAATCTTTTGTCCTGTTCAGTCTGGGGTTCACTGAAAGGTCAGTTAAAAAGTGGGGGGAAAGGTGACTAGTGGAAAGCTTGGTATCCCTTTCATAATACTAGTTTCATCTTGTATTTCAAGGATTTAAACCATAGATCAAAATAAGGTCTAAACTTTCTATTAGTCAAATTTGTTTAAACTCATTATGCTCCAGGATTTGTGGAAAAGAAGATGACTTGAAATGCTGTATCTGTATCTCCTAGCACCAATGGATTTAAATGGGTCCAACCCATTTTTGCATCATTTCTCAAATGTGTGTCATCTCTTGCTATCCCCAGTCCACAGACACAGTTACATTATAGATTGTTGGTGAAGAATAAAACTGATGAGTGATGTAAATACAACTGAAATTTATAATATTCTTTAGATCACAGAAAGTCATTATTCAAAATAAAGAGGACTGATTTAAATCACTGTGATTTAATTTTAATTTCTTTCCTTCCTTATGTAAACAGGAAATCTGACCACTAACAATTCAATAAATGTATATGGGCTCAGAATTATGTCTTATTTATTTCAATTGTCATCTCACAAGAAAAGTGGATAAAACTGCTGCCCGAACTATTTTAATTTGTGACTAAATTGAATCTTATTTACAGAATGGAATAATTTATAGCCATTCTGTAAAAACCTTCTCAAGAGGCAATAGTTCTTTTATTTACACATCATCTAAGACATGCTCTGGAGTGGTTCTCAGAATGACATATTATGGGATAGATATGTCAACTCTCTGTATTAAGCAACTTCATGGCTAAATTCTCAATCTATCATTATGAAGATCCCTAAAATTTGAGAGATAACTTTTTCATGCTATGCTATAATGAGCAGACAGAACCAGCCAAAATTCTTTTATGTAATGATTTCCCAAAATAAATATATATTCAATTCTCAGCAAAATAAAAACATGTACCCTACCTTTTATTTGACACACATGCCTTTTCTCAAAACTATGACATCCCCATTCAGGTAGGTAGGGGGAAATTACAGAATGTGTCATAATGATGTATGCATCATTTGTGCAATGATACCTTGACATGTGTAACATCATTGTGGTTTCTACCAGATGCCCATACTTGACTATTTCTGTATTTTTAGTTAATTAATAATCCCTGCAGTCAAGTCTATGTTTTTAAGGAACAACGTATTGTGTACTGACATTTAACACAAAATGTTCAAGGATTTTAAATTATGTAACTCTGACATTTTTAGTTATTATGTATTCATTATCTTGTCTGTTGCTCCTGTCTTTTTAAAATCTGAAATGAGACATTAATGCAATACTTCTTATGATTAAGTCTCCTAGCAACATTGAGCTACCTGTAGTCAGCTCAAGAGGAGGAAAGACATTATACAAAAATGCTTCTATGTATTCAATGTTTCCAGAAGTTTAATTTGTGGCTATTTATGTACTCTGTTAAGCCCTATGGCTTATATAACTAGAATTTATATTAATGAGTCCATAAATTGCATATAGAGAAATGCCGTAAGCAGTTTATTATGTAACACAGCATGAAATTAAAGGAAGATTCTTTTAATAAATGACTAAGGATGTTAACATTAAGCACAGAATCATAGACTTGGAAGAAATAATTTGAGTCATTGAGTCCAAGCCCCTGCTTGATGTAGGATCCAAATTAAAGCACCCTTGATCCTTCCTTGAATAGTAGGAAACACATCTTTTTAATATTCGTGAACTATGCAAGCAAAAAAAAAACATTAGTAAGAGTATAATAAAGAAACAACATACATTATAACAATAAAATAAACACACGGGAGAAAACAAATGAAGGAAAAAGGAATCCATGTAATAGCAATATGAAATTAGTTCAATATTTAAAGCTATTATTAAATCTTCTATTTCCATTTTAAAGACATTGCAAAAATTGATAAAAGATCATATATACTGAATCTATTAACATCATGAGTGTAAATTTATTTTAATCTACATAAAATAATTCACTTTGCTAAGACTTAGACTTAAGAATGCTAATGCTTTTCCTAAAATGTCAAACTTCAAATTTTAGGAGCATAATTCAATATCACATTACTCTTCTACTATATTCCCACCTCAAGATAATATTAAATTTTATTGTAATTTGAAACCAGAATGTAGTTATAATTGGTCATGATGAAATCATGTGAATTAAATAATCTTCAAGTTTCTGCCTACACCAAGCATAGGAAGCAAGTTCGACCATCTTCTGGGTAACATCCTTTCTGTACAATACATCATATCCACTCTGTCCACTCATCTTACAGGGAATTAAACATTGCCATTTTCGTATATATCTTGCCAGAAGCCCAGCATCTTCAACTTTTTTTTTTGTTTAATAGGTAATAAACAATACGTGACAATACAGTAAAGGGCAGTCCTTGGATTACAACTGCTTCTCCAAAATGATATTGAACAAGGGGGACCTACAACTGATCCTCAAGGCTGCAGTCACATATTCAAACACAGTAACATTGTGATGTGAGTGCTTGGCAACCAACTTGCAATTACAACGGTTGCAGTGTCGCACAATCAAATGATTGCCATATAGTATCTGCTTACAGCATCCGCTTGCTTGATTGTAGTTATCATCTGCTGACCTACTTGCCTGGGACTCCCACCCCTTCCCATACTGTGGTGTTGTGAGGTCCTCCTTGATGGCAACTGGGACTTGCTGGATTCTGGCAATCACTAAGCAATGCAACCACCTGATGTGCTTTATAATCACACTGCTTAGCAACAGAAATTCCAGTCCTAAATGCCATCATAAACCAAGAATTATCTATAAAGAGTGAAACATTATTAGGCTTAAGATACAAACTTCTATTATATAATAAATAATTTAGTGCACATTGGAGCTCTTTATCAATGCTACACTCAGTTTTAGATGTGTGATTTAAACCTTATATTTATCAATACTAATATTAATAGTTATATTAATTATAATTAATAAACAGGTGGTGATTATGTTTATTCATATAAGCAATTTAGAAATTATAGTTAATATTGATAATTATTCCCCCTGAGCTTTAACGTTTTTTCTTTTGATTCCTTAAGAGTTTTGACTCTTAATAAGTGCCTGGACAAATCCCTGCTGTTTATTTTGGCAATATTTCAGAAGTGGTTTGCCATTGCCTTCTTCCTAAGGCTGAGAAAGAGTGAGTTGCCCAAAGTTAGCCAGATAACTTTGTGCCTAATTTAGGATTAGAGCTCACAGTCTCCCAGGTTCTAGCTAGATGCCTTAACCACTACAGCAAACTTGCCCTACTCTTTAAGGCAGTGGTTCTCAACCTTTTTAATGCCGTGACCCCCAACCAGTTGTAAGTCGAGGACTACTCAACTGGTGCAGCACCATTTGCAGAATGGGACTTTTGGCGGGCTCAGCAGGGCAGAGACAGCCTGGACAATTCTTATTGGCTTTTGAAAGCCAATAGAATTAGACTCTATTCAAGAGAGTTTATTCTATTGGCTTTCAAAAGCCAACAGAATAAAAGGGAGTAGCACAGCTAAGGAAAAGGGGAAAAAAATGGCGGACTGCGTTGTTTGGCGATCCCCGTGAAATGGTCGTTCGACCCCAAATGGGATCCCAACCCACAGGTTGAGAACCACTGCTTTAAGGTTTAAGATGCTTAAATCATGATATTCATAATTTCTCATTAACACTCTACAAATAAAACTGCATCCAAATAATAAATAATTATAGGTCTTCTAAGAGTTCATCAAAGTTACAGATTGCTTCTCAAATAGAAGGACAGAAAATACTAAACACAGATAAGAGAATGAAAACTATAGATGCAATACTATACAAACTTGAGAGAAATTCTCCTTGAACTACATAGTATTTAAATTAGAATATGGACAGGATTGAATAAAGCCAGCACCATATAATACACACATTAATTAATTGCTTGCCTGACTCTCATATGACTTTGAGTAGCTTAAACTAAGAACCAAAATATATAAAATGACATATATAAGTAAAAACCTCGAAGAAGACAATAATCAAAACCAGATCAAAACAAAATACGCGAAAGAAGCTATGCTAATTAATGAAGCCAATGAATATTCTGCAAAAGACAGTGAAATGTTTTAGTAAGATATAATGTATCTTTTAAAAGAAGCATAAAAATAATAAAATAATAAAATAATAAAATAATACACAGTTGAGACCAAGCGGGAGCACTGCTTTAGGAAGCAGATTTGAAGCACTATTAAAGACATTGTCACTTAGGTAACAACTATTTCATCCTCATTATACAAGGGCGGAAGAGGTTTGTTTATTTTCCATTTCCGGAGAACGAAATAATATTTCTTTATTATAATTGTTATAATCGCACCGCTCATGATTCTCTCACCCCCCCCCTTCCGGCCAGGATGGTGCTCAGACGAAAGCACCCCTATTCAACTCACTTTACCCTCTTAGAAATCGAGGCGTGCCTGACGACCTTCCTCGAGAGGCTGCGCTCGCTAAGCCCCTTCCAGCTCTTGCGCCACAACGCCTCCTCCGCCCGCCTCGCGACCCTCTATCGCTCGGGCTCGCGCCCTCCGCAGCTAAGGCAGCGCGTGGATGGCAGAAGGCGGGAACGGGCGCGAGGCGCTTTTTTTTTTTTTTTTCCCCGGTTGGAATAACGGTCTTTCACGCCCGCGACGACGGCAGCGAAGCAGCCGTGGGACCGACTGTCTGGCGGAGGACATGGTGAGTTTTCCGTCTTTGAGGGGAAGAACCAGCGCAGTTTTATAGACCGGAATTGCGAAGAAATGAAGACAAGAGGAGGAGGCGGTGCAGTGAGATAGTCGCTCAGGTCGTGCGTTTAAGCATGCAGAACAGGAAATAGGAGATTTGTGCAGAATTGTCACCTGTTGAACTCTTCGTTGTTTTGCAGTTGTTTGAAAACCAAGGAAATTGAAAAAGCTTTCCCTTTAGGAAAACGACAAAAAAAAAGAAGCAAAACTGATAATTTCAATGTGACTTGAAGAGCTAGATTTTAAGGTGACTTTAAAAGTATATATGTTATAAAATACATGCATGTACATATAGGGACTTATTGATGGGTTCAGTACATCTCCACCCCTCCAGAATAGTATTTCTCTGCTGTACTGGTGAAAAATGATGAAGTGGTGTTGAAAAAGATAATTTCATTTGGAACTTTTAGCACAGGATAAAGGGAATATAGGTAAAACTTGGCTCCTTTTATTCAAACACGGTTCCTCCAAATTTCATATAACCAATTAAGTAAGAAGCACATGAGCCTATCATTACATGTTACCATCATGTCTATAATGCTATTTGTTCATTTATTATTCAATTTATTATTACAGCCAAAGGCCAACAGATAATTGTTCATTTATTAAATTTTTATCCTGCCTTTATTACTTTATAAGTAATTCAAGGCAGCACAGATACATATTTTCCCCACAACAACCTTATGAGATAGGTTGGGCTGAGAAAGAGTGACCGGCCAAAAGTCACACACTTGGCTTTCATGTCTAAAGCGGTACTAGAATTCAGTCTCCTGGTTTCTAGGCCAGCACTTTTAATTACCACCAAACTAGCTTTCGAAGCTAGGTTGGTTTATTTGATGGATTCATGTAATTTTATGGAACTAACCAAATCAGGCTTCACCGTGATACATTTTTTTATTTTTATGACCCTGTAATCTCTTGCCTTAGAGTAGGATGGGGGCAACTGAATGGAGTTGTATCCATATGAAGCTGACAAATCACATATTCAAATCTGTCTGTACACACTAAGTCATCACAAATCTGTCTGTACACACTAAGTCATCACATCACAGATTTAGCAGTTTAGATATCTCTAGTGCATTGTTTCTGAACCTGAACAATTTTGAGATGTGTGAACTTGAACCTGCAGAATTCTCATACAGCATGGACATTGCTAAGACTTATAAGCATTGGAATCCACATATCTAAAAAATGCCAAGGTTGGGAAAAAGTGCTGTAGAGAATGGTCTAATCATTCTTAAAAGAAAATTATGGAATTATCATGCAATTCATATCTGGCTATGTGTAGGAGAGATGGAAGATACAGCTTTCAAGTGACACTGATTGCAAGTAATTCTGGCAATTTCTGTGAATTGTCTGCAGAATTGTAAACAAGTTTTTGATTAACGGATGGATTCAATTGACATTCTGTATCTTTTTAATACTAGAACACATAATGGAACCAAAGCCTGAGAGATTCAGCATCCACATAAAATTTAATACTCATTATTCCTTGCTTTCATTGGATAATGAATATAATTAAGAATAATTATATTATTGACCACTAAACATGTTGATCAAATACTAGAGACAGAATAAGACAAAATCAAATTTCTAGCCTCTTTCTGGGCTTATAAAAATCGGGATGCTTGCTTTGTGAATAGAATGCAGGTTTTATAAGCCTTTATTTTATTTGCACAATTTGTATTCTTGATTTTTATCTATTGCTGAGATTATTTCTATACTATACTGTCTCTTTCACTTCAGGTAACAAAAAAGGGCAAAATAATCTTCATCTATAATTGGTGAAGAAGCAATATTATAATTATGTTTAGAACTGAAGACAAGAGAAGGCATGCAAAATATGTTGGCCAAAAGATAATTCCATATTAAAAAAAATGCAGAATATCTAGGAAATACTGAGATACTCACAAATGGTAGATGAGAGATAAGGCTGGTATGATATCATTTCTAGGGAACTGTATTGCCTTAGAGGTCTTTGTGATAGTGAATGCAGACCTCTCTTTATAAGGAACATTACAAAGATGCTTTGACTTAAGTCTAATTTATAATGATTCATTTTGAAAAGCATATCTTTTACTTTACTCTTATTTAACTTTGGCCCTTGTGGCACAACATGGAGATAATGTTTTCACCAGAATTTTTCTTTTCACCCCTCTTACTTCTTTGTTTTTTTAATTTCAAAAAAAGGTAAGGCAATAGCATTTTGTCATGTTACACCATGCAGCAAATTCAGGACCAGCAGAAGTGCTTTGTTTCTTCTTTACATAGAATCATAGAATTGGAAAATCCATTTACACTACTGAGCCCAATTCCACTCAGAGAGAAATATTCTGAGAATAGCCCAGTAGGCATAATTGAATTCATCCCCATCAATAATTCTCAGTCCAATTCTTGGAAATGGTAGGTTTTATGGGCATGCGAGTCCAATACTTATATACTTACATTAATGTTTTTGCTTTTATAAAGAGATTTCCTGTAGTTTCTATGCATAGCTGTAAATCACAGGAAGGGACCTAAAAGTGAAGGCATTATGATAGGGAAGTTCTTTTTAGCAGCAATCCACGCCCATTCATATATTTCCTCTCCACTTCAGATGATCTAAGTTGTCAGATCGGCCTTTTTCAGAGACTGTGAATATATTAATGTCATAGGATCAAACTAGTCCCATATTGTACTTCTAACAATAGTAAATAATGTGCCATTGGGAAGCTCAGAAGCAGATCATGATGCTTATAGTCTACTTTCATATTTCTGCTTCTGGGAGCTAAACATTCCAAGTAGTAATTATAACTAATAGGAATTACAGAAACTGCTATCTCTTGCAATCCCTTCTTATGTTATGCCATAGCAGTATCTAGAGCTTGATGTGAAAACTTTTCTGATTAAAACAACAAACCTAAAAAAAAAAACCTAATTAAAGATGGTAAGTATTTTCAGCAACTAGAATGAGTAAAAACATCAGTTACTGGATGAGTTACTTTGATACATATTTTTAACATATTGTTACTATAGTTCCAAACTAGAAATTGAACATGGAGTAAATACTGGTTAAAAAAAGCTTTTTGTTTAAAGACAAAATATTTTTTCCTCTTCTTTATTTTCTTATTTCAATAAAGTAAGAACGGTAGAATTTTGTTAGGTTCTGCTATGCAGGAAATTCAGGATCAAAAGAAAAGAAGAAAAAAAAATCTGATTTCACAATATAAATAAAAATCTATCTTTTTTTGAAAAGTGTCTTATTAAAAAAAATCTGATGTCTGTCTGTTTTTAATAGAAAATCCTGAGAAGTGAAAGCCCTTTAATTTGGTCTTTTAAATAAGGAGCCTGAATGCTGTTCATCTACTAGCTGATAAAAAAGGAATCTGAAAATAGTTTGCCATGATTGGCCATTTGTTTTTGTTGTTTTTGTTAATTCTCTCAATATTAGAATAAAACGTACAAGATGGATGAGAAAACAAGACTTCAACAAAAACCTCTGATTTCCCGTCTTGAACAAGGACCAAAAGATACCAAAATACCCCATATGGAGAAAGGAAAATTTGTCAAACCTGAACAAACTTCTAGTTCTGAAGAAAATGAGAACCTACCAGTGAGAACTTTAAAATTTGAAGATTTATACCTTGTTTTTAAACTTTAGTACATGCAATTGTTTTATTGAAAGCTACATAATTATGATAAATATAATAACATGTTCTTCTAGTAAGTACATATAAGATGGTATTAGGTTTAGTGAAACACTAATAATCATAGTAGCCAATGAATTTTAATTGCTTAGTATAAAATTCCTCCTAATATCTTGCTATAGTTTGTTTTATCTTAAATTAATGTTATTATTAATTTTTATAGAGAAAATGGATTTGGCTTCAGTTATTAGATTGTACAATATATAATGTACTGAATATAATGTGGTTTCTGAAAATGATCTGAAAAATCTTTTTGGCTCTAAATGCAAACTTTTTTTCAGTTAGGCTTCTTGAGGAAGCAAATGATCTTGATTTAAATATTTCTGTTTATAGGGAAAAAAATCAAAAGACAACATGTTCTGTTATTGGTTAATAGAACATAAAGACTACAATATAAATATTTGGCGTTTGCTGCTGCAGAGTATTTCAAATTGTAATAATTAAATATTTTGTGATACTTATTTTTACATATTTTATTCAAGCATGCTTGCTCAAAATACGGCATAGAAACCTGCAGCTTGTGCTCCATATATGTGTCCTCAGCACTCTAAAATTGTGCTGCAAAATTTAAAAATAAAATGGCTGATTTTCAGTGGCACATTTTTTTTATTATAACAATATTTCAATCTAATATACCATTGAGGGAAAAAAGTATGCATTAAATTTAGAATTAGTTATTTCTGCCAATTTATTATCTGTGTAACCACATAATTGTCATTTTATGCATATGCATTAATTTTACCTCATTAATGATGAAAAAATGATGCAAATGGTACTGTGTGGCATCAAGTCTATCCAGACTGCTTCAAAGACAAACAGTCTGGATTACTGTTGTTGGTGAATGTGAAGTATTTTTTTCTGTTGTATTTGAACTCTGTTGAATGGAGGTCTGAAGAATTCATATTTTACTCACTGATTTTGGAGGTTGGTTGTAAGGGAAATGGAAGCAATTTGCCTCCAAGGGAGTTGTTCTTTTTCCAATTGTATACTTAGTACAGCTCCTCGAAATGGACTGAAAACCAGTACAGCCTCTTGTGATTTGCAGAGGCTGGGAGGCACAACTGCAGCCTCCAGACCTCAAATGTTGCCTATCACTGCTATAATCTAA